AGTTTTAGTAGGACCTTAAGTACTAAAAGTTTAATATATAGTAGCTATAAGTTATAGCTACTACTATAGAGTAGTTATAAGATATTTACCTAGAGTAGTATAGCTATAAAATAGTTAGTAAGCCCTCAGTATAAGTATAAGAAGCTACTAAACTAGCCCTAAAGAGGGTATATTTTAATTATAGTATTAATCCCTATTAAAAGTGTAATAAGATAGGTTACTAAATAGCTAATTATTAGGCTAATAAGTAATACTAAAAGTACTTAAAAAAGGGGTATCCTATAGATTAATACTATAATTACTAGTAGTCTACTAAGCCTCTACTAGGGAGTACCTATATTAACGTAATTATAATCAGAAACTACTTAAGCTAGCTAGGCTTAAAAGGCTTTAAAGCCTATATTAATACTATATACTATATAATATTACTAAGTATTATAATAGCCCTCAGCTTTAATTAGTAAGCTAAGGAAGAATAAGATAATAGTCTTAATATATTAGAGGATAAGTAGATGCTAGGTACTTAGGGAATAGTAGGTAAAGCTACTAGTATATAAGTAAAAGACCTAAAGCTATATAGAAGCTAGCCTATCCTACTAATATATAAGTGAGAGACCTAAAGTTACGTAAAAGGTAATAAACTATCCTTAATACCTAAATACTACTAAGAGCCTAAGAGGCCTCTAGTAAAGCTAATAATATATAAGTATAAGACCTAAAACTATATAGAAATAGCTAGCCTACTAATATATAAGTAAAAAACCTAAAACTACGTAGAAGATAATAATAGAGCTACTAAATACCTAAGAGGCCTCTAGTAAAGCTAATAGTGTATAAGTATAAAACCTAAAGCTATATAGAAGTAAAAAGACTAATTATAAGTACTATAGAGGGTTTAAATCCCTATATAAATAGGAGTTTTTATTATTTTTACTATAAATTAATAGACTTAGAGACTAAGCCCTCTAGAAGGGGGGTAATTATAAGAAAATTAGGATTTTAGGCTTAGCACTAGCGCTAAGCTATCGCTAGGCCTCTGCTGAGGTTTAGCTAGGTTATTAAGCTAGGCCCTAAAAAGGGGTGCTACGCGCATAAGTGGCTAGAAGGGCTAACTTACCTAGTTAACGCTAATTAACCCCTACGTTCTAAGCCTATACTGCCCTCTTATCCTTCCCTAGCCTAGCCTCTTAGGCTATACCCTCATAAATACCTTAAATATTATTAAAAAAGTTAGTATTTCTAATAGTTTTCTTAAAAGTAATAATCTTAGAGGCTTTATTATTAATCTCTTCTATAGTTTACTTATAGAAATCTTAGTAAAGAGTAGTATAGATATTAGAGGTAATAGAGGTACTATTTATAATAATATAGATTTTATTAGTAATAAGGAAGTCTCTAAAGTCCTTTATAGTAATAAGGTTATAGTAAATAAAAATAGATTTTAGTACTTCTTTAAAATTAGTATATACTTAACCTTAGAGAGTAGAGCTAATAAAGTTATTAAGTTAGTAATACTCTATATTAAATAGAAAATATAAAGTAAGTTACTATTAAGTAGTAATATTTAACTCTAAGTTAATATTACTAAGTTTTCCCTAAATATTATAATTAACTATACTATAAACTTAAGTAGGGATAAAGATAAAGTAGTTACTAATTAGAGAGCTAAGAGGAGGTAAAAAGGGTAAAGGGGGTAATAATTTTAAATTAGAGGAGTTAGCTATTATTAAAGGGAGTTATTAATAGAGTAAAATATTAAATTAAGTAATAAGTAAGGTTTACTATATTATAGTTATAAAAAGCTTAACTAAAAACTAAAATAACTAAAACTTATTTATTTAGTAAATAATTTATTACTTTATTACTTATTTAACTTAATATAGCTTAATAGTAGTTAAAGATAGAGGTATAAAGACTAAAGAGAGCTTTTATTAAAGTAAAAGAAAACTATTATAGAAAGTAATTAAAAAAGATAAATAAGGTTTAGTAAGTAATATTATTAATAAAGTAGTAAACTCTTAAGGATATAAAGGTAATATAGTAGTATTATAAAAGGAGTATAAGTTAATAAAGTTAAAAGATAGTAAAAAATTCTCTTCTTAATTAGTAGTTAGTAATTAGTATTTAGTAGTTAAGTAGTAGAAAAATTCTTATAATAGAGTATATTATATAAGTAGTTATTATTAAATAAGTTTAAAGTAGCTATTTATTATTAATATTAACTTAATAAAAAAGAAAATAATTAAAAGCTATTAAAAGTAGAGTAATCTTTTATCTATTTATATAATATAAAAACTCTATTTATAAGGGGTAGGAAGCTAAGAGAAGTAGTTAGTAAAGTAGGAAGTTAACCTTATTATTAATTATAAGTTAATAAGTTAATATTAATATTAAGGGTTAAATATATAATAAATACTCTTTAAGTAAGAAGTAGGAGTAATTACTAAAAGTATTTTAAGTAGGATAGACTATTTCTTAAGTTATATTATAACTATTTCTATTAAGTATAAGATTAGAAGTTATAAAAGCTATTATTATAATCCTACTATTATTAATACTATAGGGAGATATTACTTAATCCTATTAGTATTAATAATATTAGTATTAATATACTCTTCTTAGAAATTAGAGGAGGGTAAGTTTAAAGTAACTTAAGTAATATAAGCTATCTTTTTTAAAGTTTATAACTACCTTATTAGTATAAGTTAATTAATTAAGTATTCCTAAGTAGAATAGATCTAAATAAATATTAATAAAATTACTTTTTCTAAAGTTTTACTAATTTATAGTTAATTAATATATTATATAGTAATAACTATAAAATTAACTACTAATTAGTATTAGTCTTATAGGACTAACTAGCTAATAAGGGTTACTATAAGTAGTAAATATTATATTATATTAACTACGTTAGTAGTAATATATATATAGTTAACTACGTTAGAGGTAGTAGCTATAATTATAGTGTTAATCGTAGAGGGTAGTGCCTTACGTAATCACTGATTACGTAAGGCGCGCCCAGCTCAATTAACGCTGCGATGGGCTGGCGTTGCCGACACGCACGCATTGTGTACCTGTCGGGCTTGAATCCATCATTCAACATAAGAGACAAAGCTTCTTTGGACCCAAGCGCAAAAATTGTCGGCGACATAGATTGAAGAACGTGACTAGGTCGATGCCAGAAAGGCAACCCATCCCTGCTGAATTCGACTGTAGAAAACCTTGGTAATCCCCCGCGGAGTTCTTCGGGTGCCTCAGCCAGCTCCGGATGTTCAAATTCAGCTAGGACTATCTTGAGCACTTCCGTCTGGCCACTCCAGGCAGCCACTCCGATAGCCAGCGCTTCTAAAGGTGATGTCTTTCCAGACTGAGGGCGGTTCCAGAGAAGTCGATGGACGGTCATGCTATCTCTGGAACTTGGAGAGAATAGAACTTTGGCACAAAGGGCGCCAGGATCATAAGCACCTGGGTTCTGTGCGAATATGTATTCCACAGTCTGTTTGTGGCAGGTGATTATAGCCGCTTCTAAAATCGACATGCAGGGATCGTTCCATAGGTCGTCCTTTTGAGCATCAAGAACCAACTGCTGCGCCAGAACTGTGTTTCCATGCCTCAATGCATGTCGGAATTGGCAGCAAATGCTCACTGGGCTGGGGTTGAATGGTGTACGGACTCCCCAAGATGGGTCTGCTCCAGCCTCAAGAGCAAGTCTCACAAGCTGCCACGCTGTGTCGTCGTTGCGGCCGTATGTGATGGCATAGGCGCCCCAGGACGGTGCCTTCGCTCCATTTTCCAATAAGTACTTGATGATGTCGAAGCTGGAAAACTCCAGAGCTACTTCAACAGCAGTGAACGAATAGTCGAGCCATTGTGCTCGAATTCGTCCCTCTTCCGATGCCCAGAATGTAGACCATTGTTTGTTCTGGTCTTCATAGACTTCGTTGACGTCGATCTTGCTTGGGTGCAACAAACGAACGATAGCTAAGTTCCCTCTAGCTACGGCGAAGTGTAAAGGAGAGGGGGTTGACTTGTTAGACTCAGATCCGTTCACAAGTGCATGATGCTCCAGGACCAAGTTTTCGCAGATTTCGAGGTGCCCATAGTACGCAGCTACGTGTATTGCCGAAATTCCAAGCTTCCCTGTGGCGGTAATATCAATACCATAGCTGTGCAAGTCCTCCAAGAAGCTGGTGTTGCCGCCCGCTGCAGCAAGCAAGACGATACTTGTCGTATCAGCAGCTTCCGGAATTTGGAAGCGATTCTGAATTCCAGCATCTTCCAGCAAGCGAAAAAACGGATGCAACTCTTTCTGCTCACAGCTATATTTGACCGTGCAGCTCATGATACTGAAACTTTTGATGAACCAGGCCGCATCAGTAGTGGCCCTTATCGATTGGAATATATCAACTCCATTGCGAATGAGCGTTTCCATCAACTCCGGGATGTAACGTTGACAGTTCATCATCATCCTAATAATTGAATCCATTGAAACGTCTGAACTCATCTTCAGCAAGCGCTCAATCATCCCAAAATGGCCTTCATCGAAACTGTCGTAGTGGCGAACTGTTTCCAGCAAAGGGTGTATACATCTACTCTCAGCATTGACAGGCCTGCGCTCGCCAAACTCGTCCCAGGGCTCATATGACAAGTCAGGACAAGCCCCATGGTCCAGAAGTCGTGACATTAGCTGCAAATATCTCATTTGAGCGGCTATTTGCAACGGTGTTTCCGCGACATTGTATCCATAATGGTAGTCGATGATCCGTGTATTCGGGTTCTGGCCGGATTGCAATAACCAGTATATGATCTTGCTGTAAGAGGAAGTTTCCAAAGACTCATCGGGCAGCCCCCACTGGATCTCCCTAATTGCATACTGAAATATCTTTTCCATTATTGCCGTCATTGTAGCGTCTGTGATAATTCCAAGCTGGAGTGGTGCCTTCAACATGCCTGAAGTTTCCAGCATTTCGGTGACGTTTTCCCATCCCGTGTATAAAATCTCATCTCCTGAGGAGAAATTGTTTGAAATCTTGTACAAAATGATCTTGGAGTATTCGCTATACTGTTCGTCGGCCGTGCCCTGGAGAAGTCGAGTAGCCCGACCGAAGTTCTCATTTTCGTGGGTCTCGGGCATAACAGATCCGATTTCGGCAGCCAGTTGAGCAACGCTGCTTCCAGCCGCATGTTCAGGAGCAAAAACGCGTAGCATGTTGGTGAAGTATAAGTCTTCCTTCCGGCATCTCAAATCATTTGATATGTTGCTCATGTTCCGGAGCAAGCCGGGAGCAGAGAAGGCTTCACAATGTTAAAAACAAGTCTTGATGAAACCTCGGACAGTTGTATGACTTACTGAATGGAAATTTGTCTTCAAAATTGCTCCAAGACAGACCGGTTGGCCATATGAATCGCATGGGCAGTGGTGCTGGGGTGTTGAGGATAATCTCAAGGCCTTCAGGGGTCATTGGACTCGCTGCATATGTTGGCATATGAACATGCATAGCAGAGGTTAAAAACGGAGACATACGCTGACTGAATCTGGCAATCGTGGTTTCGTGGTGCCGCTTAATCTCTTTGCAGACTTTGGCGGCATCGATAATTTCCTTGCCAAACGTGACCTGGGTTTCTTTTCCTTGCTGCTTCCTTCGTTGAACACGACGACCAATGAATTGCCAGACGGCATCGCTCTTGGTTTTCGGTACTCTTCTGCGAAACCCCCATAGCTTCAACTTGTATTCAAGCTGTGCCTTGCTACTAATCAGTCAGTAGATGTAACTATCACTCGGTTGCAGAGCTGCAGACTTACGTGACCAGCAAACCGTCATTTTCTAGACGCTGTCTTGTCTCGACAAGAGACTTCTTTTCCTCGACGAACATGCGTTCTATGTTGGATTTGTGTTTCAGCCATTCTTCATCAGAGGCCCGTTTCCCGCATGAGGAGGAAGCCATGGCCTTGATTGAGGGGCCAACAAAGTGACAGCTTGCGCACCCGCAGAGAAAAGATTGGTAGGAGATGGTCCAAGAAGTGCAACATGAACGAATGTCGGGGCTCACAAGCGTAGCTGTGGGCGTTTATGGCTGGCAATGTGAAAAGAAAACAGGAATGGAAAAGCCGGAGCCTTATAACATCACAGAACTTCGGCATCAACCGTGTCAAGCCCCTGTAATTGGCTGAAGCCAGTATCTGAATCAAATCAGGCTTAGAACATGCTCAAAGTCATTGGTCGAGACCGATGTCTGAAAGCCCCGCTTTCGAGGCTGGTCTTGTGAAATAACGAGGGGGTGCTCTACATGTCCTGCTTTCTGCATCCTGCATATAAGTCCATTGGTCAAGTCCGGTTTCTCAAAAGCTGGTCCTTGGTACGTACTCAATTGCTGAAATCTTCTTGCAGCAATGGAAACAACACAGCCTCAGAATCCACTAAAACAAGCAAGAGAGTGCTGCCATTGGTTCATGCCACAGTCTGAGAGACCAGGATTGGCGACGAGGGCGACATCACTTGCATTTGATGTGTGCACATCGACATAGGTCCGTCAGATCCTGTAAACTGCGTCTGATTGATCCATTCCGAAGTCCGAAATGGCTTCTTCACTTCCCACGTGAGGCTATAAGATGGCAGAGCTCCAAAACCTGTCCTTAGCGTTTCTCTTCATTTGACATTAGTTTGCATCGTCTTCAATATCACAAACCTCCAAGTATACTTAACTCTCATTCCTCACAATTCATCTTTCCTGGCTCCTGGCTCTGGGCCCTCGACACGGCAGTCGTTGAGATATATTCACGGAAAAAAATCGATATCACCGCCGTCTTGGACCTCGCCCGCATCCAAAATGGAGATCACTCCGGAAGCTATCATTGCGATCATTTCGCTCGTCGTTGGGCTTCCGTCAACGATCTTTATCCTTTGGAAATGCTTCATTCGCAGAAGGCGTGGTATATTGGAAATCATCAGTTTATTATCGAGCGCGTTACTGACTGTACGAGTCCCAGAATCTCGCTATTCTTCGCACCGCCCATCTACGCCTTTCGACCGTTTACCCTATCAAGGAAGCTTCCCGTATCAAAGCCAACATCCTACATTCCACTCTTGGACGCTTGTGGGTTTCGAAGTTGACATAGCGATCCAGACGTGGCATAACCTTCACCACTTTTCCCCGATGACGGGCAGTACACCCAGATACAGCTTTCGAAGTGTCGGAAATAGGAGAGACTCTTCACCACCTGTGTGGAATCAAATAAGAGGCGCCGGTTGAATGGGACGATGGGTGGTAGACTATTCTATTAATGAGGCGGTAGCAGTATAAAGAATAGACCAGAAACGCTTCGACAATGACGATGATGGCCACAGCTCGCTTGATTGCTTGACGCTTCACGTGGCCTTTAGTGCAATGGTCAGAAGCCAGGACAAGGCCCCACCCAGCTCGTGATCTATCTGCTGCGTCTTGCTACACACCAATCATTGCGTTGACCTAAACCTTGACTACCTAGTCGTTAGGCAGAAATACAGTCTCACGTGAAGAGCATCTGACCAGGAAGTAAAGTAGCAGACCTCATATTATCTTTCAGTACTACCGCTAACCCCAACTTCGAGGTTGGAAAAAAAGACATGATCTATCCGAATCTGCACCCGATGCATGAGCTCAGAGTTTCGATCGATACTAGTCTTGGGATATCTCATAACGAGTGAACCAATCACAACACATCCATCCTCCACCCTGGGTATTCCTCCACACAAAATATGTCCGCGCGCAATCCATCAAATCTAAGCCGAGTTGGAGCCGTTGTCCTTCTTCGACTCGCTAGCGACAGCGATGATCGCAGGGGGCTTGGGAACCTTCTGGCGGAAGACGTGGCGCTTGAAGAAGTAGGGAACGGAGTATTTGATCTCGTGGCTGATGAATTGCTTCGTCGGGACGGAGAAGACCTCTGGTTGTGGGGTTAGCAGAGCGGCGCAATGGAAAGACAAACTGGTCCACTTACGATCCAACTCTTCCAAGGTGAGTTGCTTGGTCTCTCGGACGAAACAGAAGATCATGAACCAGGCAATCAGGTTCAGTCCAGCGTAGAAACCAACTGTGGTCGGGAGGTCAGTCGGAGAATTAGGACCTCGATCAGTTGGGATACTTACAGGCACCAGTTGGAGTCATGGCAGTGCTCATGCGCGGGAAGGTCAAGCTGAGAATACCAGCTGTAAGACTTGTTAGTTTAATATCCCTAGCGTGAACTGTTGCAAGACTCACCGAAGGTGTTGTTGATGCAGACAACCCAGGCCATTCCCTGCTCACGCTGGATGGTAGGGAAAACTTCGGCGGAGTACTGGAAAGCGACAGGGCCTTCGCCAAGGGAGTAACAGATGGTGAAAAGGTAGATGAACCTGAATCGCAGGAGTGTTAGCCCAGGTAAACTATACATACGAGTGGTGAGACTCACAGAGCGACCGGTCCAATCTTTGGTCCACGTTCTTCGGTTGGGTTCAACAGGGACAAACCAGCAGCCAAGAGGAAAATGCACATCAGAGGGAAGGTCTAAGACTGTTAGTCTACGTTCGACAACTTTGGTTCCCGTTGACTCACGATCATGCAAAGAGTCCTTCGGCCCTTTGTGTCAATGAGAAACAGGGTAGGGATCGTCGCAACAACTTGGATGGCACCGTAACCCAGAGAAGCGTACAGGGCCTCCACGGGCGAGTATCCTGCATTGACGAAAATCGTAGAGCTGTAGAAGGAGATGATGTTGATTCCACACCTACTCGGGTCAGCATAACAAACCTAAGTATGATGAAGGTTGGAAGGGTTCGTACATTTGCTGGGCAAGCATCACGGTGCTAGCACCGTAGTTGGCACGCCTGATTCTGGGAATGGAGAAGCAGTCCCAAAGGCGGCGGAAGTAACCAGCGCCACGAGCCTCCTTGAGCTCTTCCTCGTAGATAACCCACGAGTAGTAGAAGTCTCTGGCGCCGATAATGTTGTGCGCGCGAAGCTTGCACATGGAGTTGAAAGCCTCGGCATGTCGACCGTGCTTCATGAGCCAACGCGGGGACTCGGGGCAGAAGAAGATGCCAGCAGCCAAGACGAATGATGGGATGAAGGCCGAGCCGAGCTGGAGTCGCCAGGAGATGTCGCCGGTGTCCTTGACGATGACATTTGCGCAGAAACCCAGAAAGATGCCTGCGACGACCCAGAGTTGCCAGAACATGACGAGGGCGCCACGGACGCGGTGGGGTGCCATCTCAGCGGAGTAGATGGGGACGGTGGCGTTCTTCGCGCCGATGCCGATGCCCATCACGAAACGCGCCGCGAAGAGACCTTGCCATGTTTGCGCGAAACCGGAGCCGATCGGGGTGGCAGTAAGGCAGATCGCCGTGATGAAGATCTCGCCGCGACGACCGAAGTAGTGGTTGAGAGGATCGACGATGAAAGCGCCGCTGCGATGCGCGTGGTTAGCAATTGCGATAAGAACCGGGGAACGAATGTCACCAACATCAGACCAGCCGTCAAAAAGATGATGGAATTGATCAGACCAATGAGCCACTCATCTCTGGAAGACCCGCTGTTGATGCCAAGGGCCTCGTGGAATGTCAGGTTGGCACCGTTGGAGCCAGTCTGATCCCAACCCTGCGTGGCGGCTCCGATGGCACAGAGGCCGATCGAATACCACAGCATCTTCGGGCCGTGCCATTTGTGGTCCCGCTCATATTCGAGCGCCCGGCGCTCTTCTTCGGAGAGGTCTGCGACATCGTTGAAGTTGTTCATGTCGCGCGCGACCATAGCCGCGCGGCCGAAGAGGGCGGCATGTTCACCCAGGTTGTGGCTCTCGGCGAACGCCACCGCGTCTTCAACGGTTTGCTGTGGGGATTTGCGCTGCGAGAAGGCGGCGTGTCAGCGGATTTTGGGGGCGTTGCTCGATTCATGATCCTGGATCTTGGCGCAAAACTGACCTTCAGCGGGTTCTCGACGATGTTGAGGGCGGCGGCCTTTCCACCTCCAAGCCCCTCGGCGAGCTCCGTCTGGGGCTTCAGATCCCCGGTGTCCTTCTCGAACGCACCGTCCGAGTGAGGAACGGTGTCGATATCGTTGACTCCCATGGTGAGCTTGGCAGCGTTCAGATTAGCTTGGCGGGATCCAGAAATTGAGGCTGTTCACTGCGGGTTTGTGCGACGTGCGCCAATTGATCAACGTTGAGCCAAGTGAGCCAAGTAGGGCCAAGCGACGGGGACGACCATGGCCAAGTCTTATATATTTCCGGGCAGAAGGCCAAAAAGGCTGTCTCTCCAAGAGGCGGCTCCATTAATCATGCTTTCAACACCAAAACCCCAGACGCTTCTGCTCCCCCGCTCTCCGCACTGGGGTAAGCATGGGGATCCATCCATCAAAGGCACCAAAGGCACCAACATGAGGAGATGATCATCCGTCTCATTCCCCCTCGTCTGATATTTGGGCGCGTCGGGGGCATCGGGGCCCAGCTGGACCCAATTTTGTCAGCGAACTCGACCTCTCGAGGCAGTTGAAAGCGCGCGTTCGCAGGAGTTTGCTTGTTTTCATTGGGACGTTGGAGATGAAAGAGTGGGAACTGACAAGGCTAGTGTCGCTGACCGTGGCTTGGCCTTGCGTCCTCCAAGTGAGGAGTCCCGTCGAGGATGGTCGAGCCGTGTTTCCAACAGTCGTCATAGCTGATTGGGTGCCGTGGCCGTCATCGGCTAAAAGATGCGGCATGCCTCCCCAAGTCATCGGAGCGTGACGGAGACACAAACCTGCGCCATAGGTTCACAATAGTGGGCCGTGTGTGCGACGGTTGTCATCCGCTATTCCCAGCGTAGCAATGAATGACACTCAATGGCGTATTACCTTGGAACGAGGCACTTTTTGTCATATTCCTTCTACTGGAGAGCCCGCCCACCCGCATATTTGCCCGAGACTGTGAGGTTCCAAGGAAATGGCGGTCTTGGAGACCTTTATCTTGATTTGGTTATGATTGGCGCGCTATACGAACGCGGAGGGCATCCCGGGCGATGGTGTTTCAATCAATGTTGCACTCACTGTTGGCCCACGAACACCGCGTTACCAAATTCACGGAGCCACGCCCATTGACCTATTGAAGAACCATACCACGATCTCCATCGTAAAAAGTCATCGCATATTAACCTGCGCCCTACGCATTGCTGACTCCTAGCACCGGCAATTTCTAGATTAAGCTTAAATGATGCACTGGAGGCTCTGCGTTCCAGTACAGACTGAGGACTTTGGGCCGGCGCGATGCCAGCCTGAGTTTGGTTCAAAAGGTGGGACGCGTCTGACGTGGGACGGCTTTTAGTGGAAACATCCCCAGAGAAAACCCCCAGAATCTCCAGAATCTCCAGATTTCAGATCACCACGTATCACTGAAGAACTGCTTATAATGTGGATGTCTGGAGATCAACCTGACGTCGACGGTTTCGCATCGCGTGCCGCAATTGAACAATTGCGACGAAAATCATCCAGCTAGTTCATCTTATCCCGCCGAACAAGTTGGACGGGCGCGTACTTCTTTCCTGGGCTCTAGCCTGTTGCTGTAGATGCCCGACAATAGCCGCTACGGCCGTGATTTGCACATCACCTGACCTCGATCTCAGACATAGAAGATTGGTTGGACGGGCTGTAAGTGAGATTGAAATACCGCGGGCCTGTTTTAGTTGGCTGCAGGGTCATCAATCAAATGCAAGGGCAACTTGAGTGGGCATCATCTTTATGGGAGGCATCATGATGAAACTAACTCCAGCCAACTATTAGGTGTTTTTTATTATGCTGTTTGCCTTCAGCTATTGAGACATCTTATTTGATCTTCAGCACAGCCTTGCCAAAGTTCTTGCCTACAAGCATGCCAATGAAGCCATCAGCTGCATGGTCAATACCGTCAGTGATGGAGAGCTTGGCCTTGACGCTTCCGTCAGCCAGCCACTTCTGCATATTCTCTTGATGCTCCTTGAAGTGAGCGGGGCCAAATTTGGGGTTGCCAACGAGGAAACCTTCCATGGTGATCTGCTTGGAGACGAGCTGCATCAGACCCTTGATGCCTTCTTGCTGCTCAGGCGGCACGTTGTAGTTGCCGATCTGCACGTTGTTAGGTCTCTTCCATCTCTACCGGGCACCCTGGTTCAACTTACCATGCCACAGACTGGAATCCTGCCGCCAACCTTCATGCTCGTAAGAGCCGCCTCAAGGTGATCGCCGCCCACGTTTTCGAAATAGATATCAATTCCATCCGGTGCCAACTTAGGCAGCGCATCCTTGGGCTTCTCAGTCTTGTAGTTGAATCCGGCGTCGAAGCCAAGCTCCTTGGTAATGAACTCAAGCTTTTCATCAGACCCAACGGAACCAATCACCGTGAGTCCCTCGCGCTTGGCAATCTGGCCAACGACCTGTCCCACGGCGCCAGCAGCGGAGCTGACAAAGATTGTCTCGCCCTTCTTCGGCTGCCCGATCTTGTGCAGGCTGGACCAGGCGGTGAGTCCCGGCATGCCCAGCGGCCCGAGGAACAGCGCGAGGTCGAGATTGTGCGGGTTGTGGACCTGGCGGGCCTGTTGCAGGGCGGTGGGGGTCACGCGGGCGAACTCGGCGATGGGCGTGTGGGCGACAATCAAACTGTCCTCCGGGAAGTCGGGGTTGTTGCTCTTCAGAACCTTGCTGATGGTCGCGTTCGTGATGGGCCCCTCGACGTCGAACGGAGGCGAGTAAGACTTCTTGCTGGGATCACGCATCTTGCCGCGAAGATACGGATCGAAACTCGCGTAGAGAATCTCGACTACGAGACCGCCCTCGGGGGCATCGTTGAGGTCGATGGGGCGGTCCTCCACTACAAGATGCTCCCCTGCCACAGGCAGTGCCATGGGGATTTTCTTGAAAATAAGGGTCTTGTTCTGGGTCATGGTGACTGAGTTGAAAGGGACTTTGGGTGGAAAGGAGAAATAGCCTAGCAGGTGTCAGAGAGAAATATGTGAAAGGTAATTCAACTCAGAGTCCTTCCGATATGCTGCATTGACGTAATGGTGCACAAAGAAGAAAGGCAAAGGTGCCGAGGTATGTTTGTGCGATTTGTAGCTGTTTTTATCGCCGTCGGGGTTAATCACCGCGCTTTCCACGGTCGAACCCCGCCTTTGCGCAGCTACATCGCATCCGAGAACGATACGAGTCAAGATGACGTGCTGTGGATTAATCATCAGGACATCGTACCATCGTTGGAGTCTATCCATCTTTTAGCGGCGTCTAAGGGATTCTGGAATTGACTTTTCGGTGGAGTGGGGAAAACACATTTCCGGGACGATGTTGTTTTCCAGACGATCTTGAGCATACATACATGTACTTGTCAGCATTTTACTGCCAGTGAACCTGACAGCCACTATGGATGACAACCCCGCTCCTGCAGATCCTAGATTCCGAGAAATAATAGAACACAGTGACTTGACGCATTGATTCATATCCTCATCGAAATCATCCCAATCGTGTTTAACGAATAGTAGATACTTAGGAGACTCGAGTGAGAAAAACCATTACTATTCAGATGAAGGGGATAGGGAGTCGTTTGACAATTATGAGATATCGATCATGTCCACATTTTATTCAGGGCACACAAGACTGCCATTTCATGTCTCTCGGCCTAGATATGGGCAATGAAACCTCATTGACTCTATCTCTTCCAGTCGGGGAACTCAATAGAATCGGGAGCTCTATCATCTCTCTTTCGGTGTTTAGAAGAAAAGTCATTGGCATCGGCTCACTTCCATGGAGAATACTCGACGCCATCTAGTGTGCTTTCGCCTGTCGTTTCAAGCCCATCAGACTGAGACTTCTGTACAATGATAAATAATTCTCTACGCTGAGAACAACTTCATAGGTGGGGTTTGATAGACTCACCGGGGCAGCAAGCCCAAGGATGCCCATCAGTGAGATTGCAAGCACAGTCAGCTTCAAGATGACTGCTGTTGAGACATATTCAAGATTAGTAGATGTCGGTGGACGAGGTTGACAAGTGTGCTAAATTAACATCGTTCTGTTTCGTGTATTATGGGAATTTAAGAAGTTATAAGTGTAGCTGCCGTACAGTTGAAATGTCCTGCGCACATGCGGACCTCGACTCGAGTGCACCAGACTTTATTGGAGTGGGAGTGAGATTTCAAGACAAATGTGAATTAACTGGTGGCTTAAGGCTCAATTTTCATGTTTAAATACAACGACTTCCTATCTGACTTTCAACCTTTCTTCGGCGCTGTCGCGAAGATCTTCTTCAGTCGATCGTCCAGCCACTTTACATCGTCGAAGTTTCCCGGTGGGCCTCCCGCCCAGTGTCCCCAGATGGACGGGTAAACATCCAGCTCCCCTACACCGTCGCTCATGCAAGCAAACTCGTATTCAGAATCTTCCGGTCTGCAAAGAGTTAGCTTTTCGGTATGATGACTAGGGTAGGCGGATACTCACGGGAAGTAGAGATCGGTCTTGGAAGGAAGGACCAACGTCTTCGCTTTGATTGCGGCCATGGCCTTCTTGAAGTCACCGTTGTACGGCTCTTGCTTACTCACATCGCCGCTCTGCCAGGTCTGAAGCATGACAAGCAAGTTCTCCGGATCCTTGCTCAAAGCCCACTTCTCCCAGAAGTTGACTAGGAACTCTTCGAGATCCTTTGCCTTGTAATGCTCCTTGTACAGCTCATGTCGATAAAACGCTTGAGAAAAGCCCCAGCCCGCGTAGCCACGGCCGAAAGCCTTCAAGCCAACCTCCTTTTCCTCGTCAGACCAGACGCGAAGACTCTTCTTTTGATCAGCGGTCTCAACGCGTCCCTTGGCACTCCCTGCGGAGCTGGTCTTTTTGGCGGCCAAGAGCGCTGTTTTGACGCCTTCCAAGAAGACTTGGTTATGCAGCGCGGTCTTAGCGGCACCACAGAAGGGAACGCAGATATCCGTGAAGTCGGGGTACTGCGTCGCCCATTGGAAAGACTGTGCCGCGCCCATGGACCATCCCAATACCGCTCTGATGTGCTTGATCTTGAGTTCTTTCGTGACGAGCTCATACTGGGCTCGGACGTTATCGTAAAAGGTGACATCGGGAAATGGGTTGACGTCGGAGTTGGAGGGACTAATGGATTGGCCGTTACCGAAGAGCGCCGGGATGATGATGAAGTAGTCCTTCGGGTTCAGGGTTTTGTCGTCGCCGACCAGCCATTCGTTGTCCGCGATCGCTCCCGAGTACCAAGTTGGATACACAACGGCTGGTAGGGAAGGCTCGCCAAAGGTTTTGTAAGCGATCCAGGCACTAGGTAGAACCTCACCGTTCTGAAGCTGGAAATCTCCAAGTATGTACTTCTTGATCTCAGACATTTTCACGATGCACCTGTTCAATCAGAGAGACAAATTTCTAATGAAAGTTAAACTGATTTATAGACGATGTGATATTGTTTGCGAAAGAGGGGATTTAGATAGCGCTGGGCTTTTGAGGCGCTGCCTTAGTCAGTGAATCTTATCATGTGCCATCGACGCCGGCGGTTGAAAACGGCAAACAACGGTTGGCTACCCCAATTTCATACCCCTCATTGTTATCATGCACGCTGATGTCAAACTGTCAAGGACGCCCTACCCTATCGTCGCTGATAAGAGGAGGCGTTATCAGCCACAATCCATGAATGTAGATATCGTCCATAGTGAAACGAGCAGAACGCGCAATCATTGATCCTGGCGAAATAGAAATCTTCACTTTATGGCAATGATGAAGCAAAACCCCGTCTATTGACTTGGTTAGAGAATTGAGATGGTGTATCAGTGCCGACCTGGGACCAGTCAATGAAATCCGAGATCTAGTTGGTACGGCAGACCACTGATCCACGACTGGCGGTGAGGGCTGTCAGATCTTTGTTTCCAAACGAATTGTTTGTCGTTTTGCTCCACATCGACATCGACGTCGAAATGTTGAATGAAGCAATTGACCTAACTACTACTACGAACTTGCTGTCAATAGCGTCGTTGCTGGGACAACTCCACCCACATTTTCATTCGCCGAGTGACTCACTCATGCAGCGAGTCTCTTAAAAACGTCGATTTCAGCTCCTCAAACATCGTAAGGATAAGTCACTACAAGCTGCTAAAAACAGCACATACAAGTTAGATTGAGCTCTCAAACATTGTAAGTCTGAAGATCCCAGGCAGAAAACACCACAGGAACAAAAGCTCATTTGTTTAGAGTCATCATGTCTTCCGAAAAGCGACCAGTCGTCATCGTCTCATCGAAGAATCCAGTCAAGATCAATGCCGCAAAGCAAGGGTTCGAGCTAGCTCTAGCTGGTGATTTCGAGTTCAAGGGAGTCAGCGTGCCCTCCGGTGTACCCGACCAACCGCTCTCCGATAAGGAGACGCTCCTTGGGGCTTTGACTCGGGTGCGGAACGCTCAAGAGGTCGAGAAGGATGCAGACTACTGGGTGGGCATTGAAGGAGGCGTCGAAGTCCCGGAAGATGCGAACGGCGCGTACCTGAACTTTGCGTGGATTGTGGTTGCGAATCGCGAGGGAAAGATGGGCAAGGCACGCAGCGCAGCCTACTATCTTCCAGAAGAATCAGCCAATTATCTGCGCCAGGGGATGGAATTGGGACATGCCGATGATGCAGTGTTTGGCCACACCAACTCGAAGCAGACGAGAGGTTCAGTCGGGCTGTTGACTGATGATCTGATTGACCGGACAAAGTATTACAGCCATGCTATGATTCTGGCATTGATCCCTTTCAAGAACAGCAAATTGACATTCGTTTGAACCGATTTGAGGACTTTGTGAAATGAAGGCGCCGTGTTAGTTGAGATGACATCAAGCTTCTACGATAACGGTCCCAAGACTTAAGCTGTTGAAGAAAGTGGCTGAATTTGCTGATGCGAGAACAGGTTCATCGACAGATATATCGTTCGTCATTCACAGAACCAGGCATGGCTTTGAGGTATCTAAGTAAGCCCTCCATATCAATGTGCACGACTTCTTTGACCAAATGGAGCCGGCGACCTGAAACCATCGCCGTCCCAGATCCCTACCAGATACTGCCCCCAAGTAGCTACTCCAAATTTGCTGCTGTTCAATACGCCAGGTGTGTTTCTATGCGGTTGATAGGAGGTTTCTGGTCTCGTACGAGATCATTGCCCGCCCTCGGGGCTGAAAACATGATATACCAGCGATGGTTTCCTTAGACTGAGGCTGTATCACCCAATGGCCAAAACTTCTAAGCGTATCCTGCTGCTGCGCCACTAAGTATGACACTTCTGCCCCATTTTTTCGGCCTTGCCGTCAAGTTCTAGCCCAAGCACCCGCCTTTAGCTATGTCGTACGAATTTTCGTATCAGAGTGTGAATTTTCGTATCCAGACCTGCCACGATTAGAAGTGGCCCATCTTTCTTGTTCATGCAGATCTACCTCGTTTAGATCCGAGTACGCGCTCTTTAGAAATTCGATACTGGAATCTAGTCTAACTTGACGGCCATCTAGAGCACCCGGCTTGGCTTAAAAGCGCTCTCGTGCTTCTTCCAGATCCAGCATGATTCGTAGAAACCTTTATCACCTAAACCGTTGCCAAGCGAGTGATCATAGAGCATCTTATTTCATTGCATTGATCATGTCAGTTCTTTTCAACAAGACAGAACCTCCATTTGGTCCAATCATCAATGGCACTCAAATCGTTTTCTTTGAATACCTCCCAAACGAACCAGCTGCTTGGATATTCGTCGTCTTGTTCTTCCTCGCTGCTGTCGTCCATCTTGGTCTTTTAATATGGCTGAGGGCATGGCACTTTTTGCCCCTCACTCTTGGGGCTGTCGGTTCGTTGTTACGAGAGCCATTACATGTGTTCACTTCTCTAACTGGACCCCTATTTAGGTGAGGGTTTTGGCTACTATGGGCGTGTTCAGGCACACAAAACACCCAACGTTGCAGGCCCGTTTATTATGCAAAACATCTTGATCTTGGGATGCGCACCACTGATCGCCGCCACTGTCTATATGACTCTTGGAAGATACATCCGAGTTTTCCAGCTGAGAGATCGTATTGTTATCCCACCACGACTGATGACGTTCGTCTTTGTCACTGTGGATTTGGGTTGCTTCGTAACTCAGGTCTTTGGCTCGGCCGCGCCAGCTTCAGGCGATCCTCAAGGCATTGCACTTGGGAAAACGTTGATCATATCAGGCTTGATTACACAGCTTGCAGCTTTGTGTCTCTTCCTGATAATGACTCTGGTTTCCGACAGACTAGCGAAGAACAGCAGATCACAAGACTATAAGGCCAGCCCGATAGCCGACTCTGCTCCGAGATATTTTCAGGTTACATACTGGGTCGCTGGAGCGATGTTGCTCCGCAGTCTTGTTAGAGGCATCGAGTATGTTCAGGGAGATGGGGGGTTCATTATCTCGCACGAAGCTTTTGTTTATGTTCTGGACGGCGTGCCGATGGTATTCGTCGCAGCCGTGTACGTTTTCGTTCACCCTGGAATGCTTCTTCGGGATGCAGTTCGAGTGGGAGGAACAGAAGAGCACCAAGAACTCGCGAGTTATCGCCGAATGTCTGCTTGAGCCAGAAACATGTAATTCTATTTCATAGAGTCTGTCCAAATTCGAAAGCTTACCCAAGGTATGATGAATGATGAATGGCTTAATTTGGAAATCCTCAAAATTTCGGACCCAAGTAGCCGACATGTATTCAGTTCAGACTCAAGAAGCCGACTTGACTGGGGCAGGCAAAAAGTTGTTCATTGGCCTCAAATCAGCCTGAGGCGCGTCATGTACTATTATTTACTTATTTTCGTTCGTGAAATAATCCTTTTGGTGACTCGGTAACAATCCTTTGGCCCCGAGATTTGAGTAATGTAGTACGGGCAAGATCTGTGTTCAGCCGTTGTCTGATTTGGTGCTTGTGTAAAAGAGCAAGAATAACGGCACAGTCATCCTAGACATGTTGTTGTGTCAGTGACATGGATGATACTCAAAGTTTTGACTGACCCTCCTAGCATTCGGGGTATCAGGAGACTCATGCCGAATGGTGATAGCCAAGCTTTCGGTGAACCCATAAACATGCCGCACGCCTAGTCGACATCCGAAGGGCCGAAGTAGGTGAGCTAAAACTTAGAATCCACTTGATAATCAGAAAATTGATCAGATATTATTTGATCGAAAGTAAAAGGCAGTGCCGCTACAGCGCTCCGAGCTCCAATTACACTGACCGCACACCCTTCTGTGCTCTTAGGAAATGCCCCCCCCCCCCCCGTCNCTGACCGCCCCCCCTTCTGTGCTCTTAGGAAATGCCCCCCCCCCCCCGATTCATGATCCCTTTAGCACAGTGATTCATCCATACCCCCTTCGCTCTTCAAGTTTGCGCAAAGGTCGTCTCTCAACAAGCTGGGCAAATCTCTTATTGGTCTGATTTGCACTCCCTATCAGCACGGCGGATTGAGGGAGAAGTTGACAAATGTGGAATATTACTTACCTCTGCAACCACGTCGTAGCACATGGCCCATTTGGTATACTGAGGTGTCATTCTTGGAGCATTTTCATCCATTTTAATGCTTTCCCAGTCCGTTGGCTGGCCAGTGAAACCCGTCGCTAAGAGTTTCTGATCTCTAGCTTCTTGCTCCGGACCATCTGGAAGGGTGAACATGGCGATGTTCTGGTGGCCGACGTCAAACATCTTCTCAGCGCGTGGCTTTCTTAGGGCCTCCCATTTTCCCAAAACGGCAGACAGATTTTTCCGTTTGTCGAGCCAGCGGAGGGCTGTACTCAGGGCCAAGCCATCCTCGATGCCTTGGCTCACTCCCTGAGCAGTATGCGGCAACATGGCATGCGCAGCATCCCCCAGAAGAATGCAGCGTCCCCCGAATCCCAGCCAGGTTGTCATCTTCGGTGCTGTGGCAATGTGCCACTTGTCAATAGGGTAGCCCCCACGTATCACACACTCGATATAGGCACGCAGCGGCGCACCGAACCCTTTGAACATTTCACGGATCTCTTCGGGGTCGCCGTCCGAATTCCAAGTTCCACCCAAATCCGCATCTTCGGATGGGAGTCCATAATTCATATTGCATAGAAGGATGCGAACGGTGCCATGAGCAGTCGGCCGACCGACGCAGTAAAGTCCGGGGCCGAACATGAGATGGTGTGAGCGAACGCCCAGCGGAGCGGCTACTGGGTCTTTCTGTACTCTGCCGATATCAACCTCTGTCTGGAAGATGCACTCGGGTGTCATGATAGGACTCATGTTATTTCCAGGAAACATGAGCTCCCGGACGCGTGACTTAATGCCGTCGGCACCAATCACCATGTCAGCCAAGTACTCGCTGCCATCCTCCGCCACCACTAGAATTTTACCGTTTTTCTCCTCAATGATTTTGACGACAGGTTTCTTGAACAGATATTTGGCTCCAGCGTTGATGGCAGCTTCGTAAGTGATTCGCTGTAGTGATGGCCTGTCGGTAGGCTTCCGGATCGTGCCATCAGGAATTGCCTTTGTTTCCGTAAACGGCACATCGTCTTTCCATCTCCACAGAAATTCACTGGCTGTTTCCACGGCCACCTTGTCCAGAGATTCTGAAACACCGATCAGGTTGAGGCATTTCACGGCGGAGGGCTGTACGATGAGGTTCCCTCCACGAGTTTGGAGTTGCGAGTTGCGTTCAAGGACAGTTACTTGATGCCCGTCAGAAGCCAGAGCGGCCGCCGTCGTATTCCCGGATGGCCCGGCTCCAACTATAATGATTGTTAACGAAACTTGCGAGGGCATGTTGACTCTGCCAGTATCGATGGCTCATGGACAACACCTCAGCAGGCCAACGAGAGTGTTTTTTCCCCAGGATAGGCGATACATCAGGCTGCAGAGAGGCCGCAACTAGGTATAAAGGATTATGTTGCGTAATAAATATTTGTCGACTACAGAGTTCATCCGAAGGCACGGCTTTCTAATTCGCCGAAGTCCGTTGAGAAAGGTTTGCTAGTGTGATTTAACTATGGGATAGAGTTCTGCTAGGCACGATGTCTATTAGTCTCTTATGACAGGGTACATGGCATGACTTATTTCGTGCCTCCTAAACGTTTGCGTAAGACCAATCTAAATTCGCCGAAGTCCCCCGCCATAGTCAGGTAGTTACCCGCCTCAGTCTGTGCGCGGTTACTCTACGTCCAATGTCGACTACCCAAGAACAAGCCTTCATCAGTCGAACTCTTCCGGTGCACCAGTGAAAGCTTGATCGATGGGGTTAAGTAGAAGGTTGCTTTTATGGTTCATCTGTCGCTGCACAGCTTAGGCAAAGTTTGGCATTGTACACGATGAGACGTTGGGCCAAGGTTTGTCAACCGCAAGGTACTTGAGAATTCCACTGCAAAAATCTTCATATTATCAAGGTGATTCTCGTCAAAATTAATGAGCGTGGGGATAAAAAAAAGTTGCATTGGCTGCACGACTACGGATTTTTCGGTTGAACCAACCAACCAATAGTGGATGATACTTGACAATCATTATTGGGAGCCGTACATTTCATTGAAGCAAGTCCTATGCATGGACCGATGGAAGGAAAGGTCGGGCTCATTGAGACACGGGACCTTTCATGAGGAACGAGGAGCATACTGCAGGCAGTGCAGTAAAGCCCCTGGGAGAGTGAAAGGGATTCAAGGCTGATCATGCAGATCTGATGTTTCCCACTTTCTGGACGAACTGGAGATGGTGGGGGTCTCTCCTGGGCAAGACGCGTTGGCAGCCTCGCTTCCCCATCCATTTGAAGTCGGCAAGACGACTTTTAGCGTGAAAGGATCTCTGGCTCTGGTTGGTTTCTCGATTTTTTAACTGGATATTTACTGAGGAGGCTTGATTCGATGGAATTCCCTGTTGATCAGCGACACTAAAAGGCGTAGTCGCCGACGTCAAATGGGTATACCCCAGCCGAGTGAGATTCCCAGCTAAGATAATCAAGACGTTTCTACTACCTCCCGATAAATTTAAGCCATGAGATGAAACCTTGAATCATCACAAGACCCGAGATCTGGTATCATTCGTGACCGCTGATGAGGATATCTACCAAATGAAGGTCCTAGTACAGAGCAACAGAATGAATTGCGCTATCAAACCTCGCCAAGACGTTCTTCTAGTATCAAGCTATCCAGCGACCTCCAAATGGCTTTGTCCGAATCAAGTTTTTCAAATACACGCCGATTGCGCGTCTCTGGAATTTTTGTTCGGGGCGAGAGAAACCATTGAGCCAAACAGGCCCCAAAACCAAGACTGCCAAGCGAGAGGTCCGCATATGTTTGACTTGGAAGTGGAGGGACAAGATATCGTGGATATCAAACCCCCACCGCTAGCCAACTAGAGAAATAAGCTTAAACTTGGCCAACGTCATCCATCCATGTCGCCGAGAATAAAAGGTCTTGACATTTCAGCTGACTGCACTCAATCATTTCTTTCAATGTCTTGGTTCGCCCAGCCTCGGGTTACCGTCTTTGGCAACCCGTACGGGAGGATGCCGCTACACCGTCGTCTATTCGGACTCGGCGTTGGTTATGAAATCCACATCATGCCGAAATCTCACCACCAACTGGTGACCTGCCAGCAGTTTTTGAGGCTCGTCGGTCGGCCAACCTCCTGTTTGGAGGAGTTCCTAAGGCATTATCTCTTTGGCTTGGCCATTTCTCCTGGGAGCCCAAGAAATGCAGGGTTCCTTTGATCGTCGCTGCTGAGTGGGCAAGAGCCGGAAACTTTTCGCGCCCGTGTGGTTCCTCAACCTTTGAAGTCAACCGGAAGGCCGTACTTCGGGCTATTCTCCACGGCTGACTAGAAATTCGGACCAACACCGCCAACACCCAAGAACACCAAGACACAGTTCTGGAGCTACTTGTGGATATTGTTGGTAGACCCCGAGCCGCATGCTCCATTTTGTTTGCGCCTGTTCGCCCGCACATATACCAAATGACCTCAGCCAAGTCATCCTTCATCGGGGACTGTCTCATTAAGCCCCACGATGTCGGCGCAAAGCAACACTCCAGGTGAGAAGTGAGCGAGTACAAGACGCGCATCGTCCCCAAGCCACGTTTTCTCCAAGACCTGCCCAGTCTTGGTGGGATCATCCTTCTTTTCCTCTTTCCCACACCATCGCGGACGTGCATGATCATGCCCGAGAAGCAAGAGAAACAACAACGCTCGGGCGAGAGCGGGAGCCCAAGCCCCTCCTCGTCCGCCGACAGCGGTCGCGTGGTGAACGAGAAGCCTAGGTCTCAGGGAGGCTTTTTTTCCAAGCTTGGCGATCTTCCCGAGTTGAAGTTTCGTGGCAAGCTTCTCGAGGGCCAGACTCTGAACTGGTGCATCGGCTTCATAGCGAGTTGCGGATTTCTGATGTTCGGCTACGACCAGGGCGTGTTGAGCTCCCTCCTTACCCTGGATGATTTCCAGAAGAGCATCGTGTTGATGACTCCACTGGAAAAGTCGAACCCCCTATGCTGGCTCGATTATCCCGAAAGCACGCAGCGTGATTACAGCCAATGCACTGGAGACCCCAATACACAGGCTGCTGCCGTGGCTGTCTATCAGATCGGATGTTTCCTGGGCGCGCTCCTCATTCTCTTCAAAGGAGAGACGTGGGGTCGCAAGTCTTCTACGTTCTGGGGCAGTGCTATCATGGTCATCAGTACCGTCATGCAGGCCGGCTCTCACGAGTAGTACGTTGTGTCCTTCATCTCCGTTGCAGACACGATACTGACATTATGCAAGCATTCTTTTCTCTCTTTCCAGAGTCCTTGGCGGAATTGGAAATGGCATGGTAACCTCGAGTAAGCTTCCTATGTGATCTGGGTCGTCGCTGGCATAGCTAACAGGCCTACAGCAATCCCCACTTGGCAATCTGAGTGCGCACGACCTCATCAGCGTGGATTTCTAATCACCCTTTCCGGAGCTCTCATATCTGGAGGCATTATGATTGCTTACTGGGTGAGTAATCTCTCTCCAACCTTGGGACACCTCTCAGTCTAATCTCGTAACTATCTAGGTCGACTATGGCTTTTACTTCCTTGAGGGTTCGATTCGCTGGCGCTTTCCCATCGCTTTCCAGTCATTCTTCACTATCATCGTCATGATTGGTCTCCTATATCTCCCCGATTCGCCGCGATGGCTCGCCATGAAGGGCCGCACTGAAGAAGCCCGGGCGGTCACGGCCCGCCTTCTCGGCAAGCCTATTGACCATGAAGATGTCACCACGGAAGTCAAAGCTATCAAGGAGGCCCTCGAAGTCCAAAGTCAGGGTGGCGGCTTCCAGTACAAGGAGCTCCTCACTAACGGACCGTCTCAAAACCTTCGTCGAACGCTACTCGGAATCGCCGCGCAATTCTTCCAACAGATTTGCGGTATCAACCTAATCACTTACTACGCTGGCTTCCTTTTCGAGAATTCTCTTGGATTTGGCCCCGAGCTGTCGCGACTTCTCGCAGCTGCAAACGGCACTGAGTATTTCCTGGCGTCACTTGTGGCACTGCCCCTCATTGAGAGGACTGGTCGACGGAAGCTTATGCTTTTCGGCGCTTTTGGCATGATGGCTTCCATGGCTATCTTGGCTGGTACTGTCTCTACGGGCACTGTCGCAGAGAACGGGGCACCTAACCTCGAGACCCGTTACGGTGTCACGGCCACCGTCTTCCTCTTTGTCTTCAACTCTTTCTTCGCAATTGGTAAGTACTTCATGTAAACATACACAATTTCATTCGCTCACATATTTCAAGGCTGGCTCGGCATGACCTGGCTGTACCCTGCCGAAATCACCAACCTCCGTATTCGCATCCAAGCCAACGCCCTGTCAACCTGCTCCAACTGGCTTTCCAACTTCCTCATCGTCATGATTACTCCTCCAGCCTTTGCCAACTTGGGATACAAGACATATGTCATGTTTGCCGTCTTCAATGCGGCCATCATTCCGTGCGTCTGGCTGTTTTTTCCTGAGCCCAAGGGACGCAGTTTGGAGGAGTTGGACGTTATCTTTGCCAGCGCGCACGCTGACGGCGTCAACCCTGTCAAGCGTGCGAAGGAAATGCGACACATCGAGGGTAACGAGCTTGAGGGCGAGCTTGACAAGTACTTCGGGTCCAGTGAGCAGGTTGAAGATGCCCGTCCCATGACGCGCCCGATGACTGGGCACAGTCATCAAACAAGACATTGAGTGCCTCATACTCGCAATGCACAATCTCATTAGCAGTGCACGCTGCCAAGTATATCTCTATATAGTTAGCTTCTTGGCCAACTGAATTCAATTACATGCACAAACGTTTCTTCCATCCACCCTTTTGCGAGATGTATACCATGTCAATGTATGAGGATGTCCAGAGGAGCTTTCATCACACTTAAGTCAGGTTTTGTCATTGGTCGAGCATAAAGCCAAGCGGTTCAACAACATCAATGCGCATGGTTAAGCTAGCATTTGAGCATTGTATTGAGAATGTACGACGTTTGCATTTTGACTATGTTTGAAAGCATATAGGGGGACAGTATTCTTTCATACATTCTAAACAGTGAATAAAGGCGATGTTCCTGCAAGGGAGGCAGCTTCAAGACAAAACAATCACTTTGTGGGTTCAAACCTGGCTCAATGACATTGTAAAGCCGAGTACCCAAAAGGCTCAACTCCTTTGATGTCTCCCCAGTCTCCTTTCTAAGCGCTGTCACAGTGTCTTTTGTGTGGGTGAGGCGCAGCGATTTGAACAATGCCTTCTTCCTTTGCCTTGGTCAAGAATGAAGCCAGTTGTTCATGCGCAACAGAGAAGAAGCTATCCTCATTGTGATTCGCAGCCACTATAAGAGTAGTCTTGTGGTACTGACTCAAGACAAGTCCAGCAAATCGTGCCAGTACAGAAAACCCATAGCAGCAACAAGCAATATTACACAACACTCAGCAATCTTTCGTCTCGGAACTTCAATACGATTTACGTCTTATTATCAAGCAAACCGAAGCTTACAACATGCCACAATACAATATCAAACTAGAGGTAGAGGATGACAACATTCGGATGGAAAATATTGAAGAACAGCACCGAAGCTTTCTCAAAGCAATCCTCTCCATCGCGAACATCCCCATGGTATTTATTAACTTCATCCGAAACAACCCTCACTTCATTCTGTTTCTAATCTGCGTTACATGTAACGTATGGTACTTCTGGGACACGATAATCTACTGCAGTGAGCTACTCGAGGATGTTGACCGCGATACTTGGATTGCTGCATTTATCTGGATTTTCATCGCACGGTACTACCGTTTTGCGATCGGCTTCTGGGGGCATTCAACTTACCAACCCTCTCCCATGCAGTCGAGAGAGCTCTGGACATCCAGGGATGTCACAGTCATCCTCCCCACGATCGATCCCGACAACCCCAAGTTCGCCGAGTGTATGCTCTCAATTCTGGAGAACAGGCCGGCCGCAATCCTTGTCGTTACCGTCGGAGCCGCCATGCGCCAGCGGTGTGACGACTTCCTCGAACACTTCCGTCAAGAGTATCCAATGACGCGAATCGGCGTCAGCGCGATCCCGCACCCCTCCAAGCGCCGGCAAGTCGCTCATGCCGTACCCAAAGTCGAAACAGAGTTCACAATCCTCGCCGACGACCACGTCTTCTGGCCCAGCAAAGAGTTCATCCCCAACGCTCTCGCGCCCTTTGAGTGCCCAACCGTGGGTGTGGTGGCTACCTACAAGTGCGTCCGACGTACAAGTCCCGGTAAGTTCTGGAGCATCTCTTCTATCATAAACTTCATCGGTTGCCTCTACCTCCAGCGCCACAATTACGATCTCAGGGCCTCCAACGCCGTAGACGGCGGCGTCTTTGTGGTCTCTGGTCGCACCGCCATCTACCGCAGCAGGTTTCTCAAAGCCGACGGCTTGATGCATCGGTTTTGCAACGAGAGGTTCTTCTTTGGTCTTTTCGGCGGTAAGGAAGGCCTCGGGCCGGATGACGACAACTTTCTCACCCGTGAAGCTTACAAGCACGACTGGGACATCAAGTTCCAGCAAACGGACGAATGCACCATCTGGACCACAATCGGCGACGAGTCAGTCAGCAAGTTCCGTGGTCAACTCATTCGCTGGGCCAGGACCACGTTCCGGAGTAACCCGTGTATGATGCTGGAGAGCAACAGGGTTCTCATCAAGCGCATGCCGTGGTCATTTTTCACTGTCTACCTGACTGGCCTTATTAACTTTGCGCTGTTGTGGGATGGCTTGCTGATATTTACCTTCTACAACGCGTTGGGTGCCGACGAATTTCTAACTACCGAAATGCGGAACCTCCTCTGTTTTATGCTCTTTACCAAGGTATGGAAGATCGTACCCCATTTTCTGCGGTATCCTTCAGATCTGCTGCTCCTGCCTTACCAGATCCTCTTCGGGTATGTTCACTCCTTCATCAAGTTTTGGGCTTTGATTACATTCTGGGACTGCGCATGGCTGGGCCGTAATTTGGACGCGGTCGACGACGAGGCTGAGCACTCAAGGATGCCCCTTAACATGGATTTCAGTTGGGGAGAAGTACGTCCAAACAGTCAAAGTCATGGATATCACTACTAGGTTCGGTTGCTTATTTATTTTTATCGCATCTTTTCATTCATTTGGCGCTATTGTGATATCATGCCTGTTTGATTATGGTCGTTGTGTTTTGTGTTTTGCCTGGCGGTTTACCCCGACTAGATATGTCACAATGAGAATCAAAATAGTGGAATACTTGCATCGATTCCCGTGGTTTATGACGTCGTTTTAGGCTCCCCATTAATCGCGACACACGACGGGCTGTATGATCTCTAGTCATATAGTTACTCTTTCTACTAATTATGAGCTTGCTGTCTAAATGAAGACGATTCGGTAGAGTTCCCGTGTGTCAAGTTGGAACTGATAATACATCAGAGTTGAGTTCTGAAAACATGCAATGGGAATGCTCTCCTTGGATATCTCCAGTCGATCCCAAGTACCCACCGGCTGATTGCAGCTTACGTGACTGACATGAAAACAGCCAATGCCAAAAAAGAAAACTGAAAGCCGGGAGGAGTAGTCCGCTTACATAGAGCCAAGCCTTGATGCATTAGATGAGCCAGCGCTCGTGAAAGCGAAACCGAAACGAATCCAAGTCCGTGTGATGCCAGTCATCGTGAAGGCCCCTTTCGTAGAGCAGACCAAGCGAATGATAAAAAAGCATGAACGAGGCTCAAGAGCCGCCTGCAACGACCTGCGTTAGTAGATGCCTCTTTTCCATCCATCTTGCCAGCTTCTGAGCCAAAGTTCTTAATCTTGTGAGAGACTACTACCGAACATACCCTCAAGTCGGACACAAAGATGCTGTGTAAGCCAGCTGTCGCCGTTGCCACTCTCTTGCACCTCATCATGCCCGCGGTAGCGGAAATCGTCTTTTGTGGTGGGGCTCCTGCTGATGGTAGTTGCCCTGCTGGCAAGGGTGACAAGCGCAAGGTTAGCCTATCAAGCCTCTTCCAACAGCATACTCGAGAGTTATTAACTAACTTTCTCTTGCTTTAGTGTGAAAACGTCTGTAGTACTTGTAGTCACTGCTACGGGGGCAATGCGCCAGACCTGGGTGCAACATGTTGTCTGCAGGATGATGGCACTTACAATGTCTTCTGCTACAGAACCGGCAAAAACAACTGCAAGACATGAGCGCGCCAGGGGAATGCGACGCGCTGCAAACTGCGCAACCTATTCACTCATCTACTGTCTAACGGGTAGCATATAAGTGTACGCAGTTTTCTACGCCCCAACCAGGCTATCCAGGACCAGAGTTCATGTAATTATCTATAAAGCTTCCACTCATGGGTAGCAACGAGACGACGGGTAGAAATAAGATGGAACGGACGGAATACAAATTTAGCCAATGTTCATAGTTATGCTACGAGATCTCATCGTGTGCCACGAGCAGAAATAATTGTCGATTTTCGGTCAGGCAAGGAACTCTTGAGCAAAAGGATACGACTTCTCAAGTAATTACCCGTGAGCCTATCGGGAGCCATATGTTATTATCTCCAGGGTTACTACATTGTGGTATCTTTTGCACTATCTACTCCTTTTTCTCACTGACGTCCAGCGTAAAGCTCGTGGACATCATGACCTCCATGGAGCTCGGGTGGTCGCTGGGAAGCATTGTCAGCCTCAATTGGCCCCGCTGATATAGTATCCGTCTTCAATCCCGCGTATTGGTAATGGGGGTACGCGGGGCCGTCGACGGGCTCGCCTCCTTTGTCGGGTTGTCCAAGTTTCTTCTTCCTCAGTGCCCTCCATACGAACCAACCAATCACAGACACAACGGCTATGGTACCCAGCGTTGCACCGACAGCTATCCCTGCGACGGCCCCTGTGCCAAGTGACTGTGAAGTTTGCTGCGAAGATGTCCCGGTCGCGGCAGGAGAGCTTGAAGTGGCCGATGCCTGGCTCTGGCTCGAAGACGTGGGGCTCGAAGCAGCTGCTGTGGTTGTCGAGGCTTCTGTGATGTTGAAATAATGCGACGTGGCGGTTATCGCCCCCGACCCGGAACTGTACAGTGCTAGGTAAAACACAGGCAGAGATAGATCGGCGTCGTCGGGGAAGCCGTCATAGCTGACCTCCCATGTGTAGTCCAGAGAACTATAATTCTCTACAAGGTTGGGAAAAGATAGCCGTTAGCGATGCATTCGCAAGGTCCCCATGTTGTCGGGAACATACGTAGAATCCGGGCCGAAGACCGATCTCCGGTGGTACTGTCCGCCTTGTTGTTCCAAATCCAGATGTCGTTCAGGGGATCTGACTCCCACACGAATCTCACTTTTTCACCAAGAGTGTAAATCGGGTTGTCGCTGTAGTCGTTCGTAGGGCCCGGGCCAGGCGGTCGGCGGAATACATCTTCGGTTATTGCGAACGAGACAAATATCAGACTGAACAACAGCCCTATCAGGTAAGACATTGTCTCACTTTTAGGAACATAGCCTCATCCCCGGAGACCGTTGAAAAGCAAGATTTGCACACCTGCTCAAGGCACCAGCTATGCCAGGGAAGGCGTATGTCTAGGAGCGAAGGAATCCAACGAGGGCACTTCAACGTAGGTTGGGGCTTTTTATCCCCCACGATCCCTGCTTCCACTGCCTGACTTGGCCCCTCTGCTGGCCCTGTTGGGTGTCCTTCTTGGGAATCTGACACTTGATTAAGGATCCATTGTCCCATCCGTCATCCAACCAGACTTAGAGGCCCCTACGATGCACTACCAAGAAAGCGGCACAGCACCAACAAGCAGCCAGCATTAACAGCACCAACAACAAACAGCACCAAGAAATCTGCCTAGCCGCCGAGAAATAGTGCGCGTACCCATCCGACCCCCGGCCCCGTCCCGATCAGCAATTGGCCCATTGCCCGTGGGCGGGGCCGATGACCGCCCGGGCTGCCTGCGAAGGATTCCGAAGCCTACTGCGGCATGCATGCAGGGGCGCGGTTGTCATTTAGTTCGGTACACCATCCCCAAGTAATCCATGTTATTTTGCCCGGCAACACCACGATGTAAGCACTAACATCTAGACTTTTGAGACCATACAGCTTACCGTTCCTTCATGGCTACGTACCTGCCTTGCACTGCTGCAATCCTCCCAATTTAGGATCCTCTAAGGCGACCAGCCACAGTCTCTAACGACTCATTCTCAGCCTCCAACCTATCAGCTCCATGGATTGTGAGGCTGATAATAGACTACCGCGCCCGGCTGTTGCAGATCATGGGCGAACTACAATGTGTCCAGAGTAGTCCTCAGGCGTCATGGCACTAGTCTTGTCAGATATAAGTCCAAGATGAAACCCAACTGCAAGTCGGAGTTCAACATCACATATTCAGTACCAACAACCACAATCATAGCAAAACACCGACTCACATATCAGCACACAAATCGCCAGCCGATATCATGGCTTCCGAAGCAACCAACATCGTCCTCCGCAAGATCACAATCTTCGCCTTCCCGCCAGCCTTCATCATCCTCCTCATCCACGGCATCATCTCCAACTGCGCCTTCCCAGCCCTCGGCATCCTGCCCCTCGCCGCCTCCGCGATCCTCGGTCTCTTCATCATCCGCCGCGACCTCATCGCCGCCCTCGGCTCGCCCATCCAAGCCCTCACGCCATCGAACATCTTCTTCGCCGATGTCACCCTTGGCGTTTTCCACTTGGTCTTTCTCTTCATCAGCTGGGCGCTCATCAGGGAGCCGTGGGACAGAGGTCAGATTGTCCTCGGCACCTACGGAACGGTGCCTTTGATGCTCGACACGTAAGTTTTCATTTTTCTGTTTCGCCATTCCAACTTGAGACTGTGGGTTGAAGCTTACTGCTTTTCTCAATTCTAGGGCTATTCACCTTTATGTTCTGCTCCCGCAGATCGGGCATATGCTCGTCAGCCGTCGTTGCGACTGCCCTCACTGCCAGAGTGTGAGCAAGACAAGCTACTTCACGACGGGCGTGTCGGAATACACTCCTCTCAGTGATGGCGACACGGAGCCTGAGATCCTCGAGAGGGACCTTGAAGCGGGTAACTGAGACGGACACATTGTCACAAGGTCAACTGTTATTCGAGGAAGTAAAACGGAGTACCCAGGTGCATAGATCGCTAGGTTTGCATTTTCTCTCGTCACTCTTTTTGAACGGTCACCAGAAAGTCCATTAGCGTACATCATAGACCATACCCCCTAAGACACACAACATATACGCTCCTTAGATATTCGTAAATACGAGCAAAAGCATCTCGCGGAACGAATCAGTAATCAGTCCGCAGTCCAAACCGTCTGATGATTAGGACACCTGTCGAGCTCTTCATCACGGCAACTCCCGCCTTCGTGCTGGAACAGAACGCCACGAGAAATAGCAAACCATGCCCAAACAGTCTTGGTCCTCCTTGCGAGACAATGCTGACTCATTCAAAGACATCATCTCCTGAGAAGGACAACATCCGCGTTCCGGCAGCACACCCCCCGCAAACGTCCGGCATGATGCCCGCCTCACCCCAAGGTGGCCAGAGCTCCCTTCTTGCCGCCTCACCCAACCAAGTCCTCTTCACAAGCCAAAGATAGGGAGGCAGAGCTCTCGCAACCTTTTTCGTCCCATCTTCCAAGCACCCCACGCTTCCAATGCATGCGGGGGCATCATCCAATCAAGTAAACGTGCTTTGCTGTTTGCTAATGCGGGTGTAGCCATTGAGTTTCGCACGACATCGTTTCATTCGTCCCCATTCGACTTGCAAAGGTGTATGCAAAACCCGCCTTCTCCCTTGCCTGCCTCTTCTTCCCGGCTCCTCCCCCCCTGTCCAGCTGGCTGTCTAGCAATCAACGAGACAACTTACCCCGGTCTCAGAGCACGAGGGAAACATCTTCTGTTATCTCGTTATTTACCTTTCCAGCATCCCTGACGGCCGGCGTCTTGTCCAGGTGTGATATCAAAACCCAGATTGATCAGACGGAACGAAGGCACGTTCGCCGTGAGCCGCCCTCCCGCACTGCCGCCCGGGATATCGACAGTCCGGCAAACCAGCAGTTTATCAAACGCTCGCGTCCCACTTCAGCCGGGGAGCTTGCTGGTGGTGAACCGTTAAGCAGCGGGTGTTTCCTGGGATTTCCATCGCAGAGTATTCTTCACAGCATCACATCAGACCTCGCCGTCGACATCTAAAGCAGTCCGTCTGCTCCCCACCTACCCAGCCACCAACATCGAAAAGCTCGCGTCGAGCATCGACGACAACTTCCAAGATGTACTTCACCAACCCCGTGGCAAGCTTCCTCACGACCCTCCTCGCCTTCTTCGCCGTCCTCGCCTTGATCCACATCGCCCTCACAACAGTCTACGTAAGTCCTCCCTCCGCCAAACCTCTACCCACAAACTCCGGCACCGGGAATCCTTCTAACAATGTCGTCTAAAAGCTATTCTACACCTTCTTCCACTCGCCAATCCGCCACATCCCCGGCCCGCGCTACACCCTCATCACGCACTACCCGCTCAAATACCACATCCTCACCGGCCGCCGCATGTACCACATCCACGCCCTGCACGCCCGCTACGGCCCCATCGTGCGCATCTCCCCGTCCGAGGTCGCCGTCGCCTCCCCCGAGGGCTTCGCCGCCATCCACCGCATCGGCAGCGGCTTCCTCAAGTCCGCCTGGTACGAGGAGTCCACCCGCCCCGACGGCGGCGAGTCCAGCATCTTCGCCATGTCCGACCCGCGCCAGCACGCCCAGCGCCGCCGGCTCCTCGCCCGTGTGTTCACGAAGCAGTCCCTCCGCGCGGACTGGGAGGTCGTCGTGAGAGAAAAGGTCGAGCGCGCGGTTGACAGGATACAGACGGAAGCGGCGGGCGGCGGACGTTCGGACGTGTTGAAGTGGTGGACCATGATGACGACGGATACGATTGCTCACCTGGCGTTTGGGGAGTCGTTCAACATGTTGGAAATCGGAGAGGTAAGCTTCGTCGTTGCCCCTTCCTGTCATCTTCCCCCGATGGTACTTGTCCAGCTGCTAACATCGAACCCCTCAAGAAAAACGACTACGTGAAAGCCCTCGAACTAATCTCCATCCAAAACACGATGCGCTACGAGCTGCCCCTCCTGCACTTCCTCCAACGCCTCGTCCCCTTCAAGTCCCGGCAGGGCCCGCCGGACGCGCAGCACGTGCTCAAGGTCTACGGCAAAAAGGCGGTCGCCAACGTCCGCAAACACAGCGGCGACCGGCCGAACCTCTTCGGGCGCATGATCGAGGCGAGCGAGGCCGGCGAGAAGCAGTGGCTGACGGAGGAGGTCGTCGAGTCCGAGGCCAAGAGCATGATCATCGGCGGCTCCGACACGACCTCAGTCACGCTCACGTACCTGGTCTGGGCCGTCCTCAAGCGCCCGGAGCTGCGCGCGCGGCTCGAGGAGGAGGTGGACGCCGTGGGCGCCGGGTTCGACGACGCGGTGCTCGAGAAGCTGCCGCTCTTAAACGCGGTCATCGACGAGACGCTGAGGCTGTATGGGGCGGCGCCCGGGCAGCTGCAGAGAGTGGTCCCGCCCAAGGGGATTACCATCGGGGGGTATTACATTCCTAACGACTACACGGTGGAGACGCAGGCGTACACGCTGCACCGGGACCCGGAGGTCTGGTCTGATCCGTACCGGTGAGTATCACGAGTCCCCCCACCACTTGGTGTTGGTGCGTGCTAACGATGATGGACAACACAGCTTCGATGAGACGAGGTTCTTGGACCACAGCAAGCTCACGCCGCAGCAGAAGCTCCTCTTCTCACCTTTCGGGGCGGGGTCCCGGATTTGCTTGGGCATTGAGCTGGCGAGGATGGAGATGCGCCTGGCCACGACGGTCCTCTTCAGGAGGTGTAAGGGGCTGAGGCTCGCGCCGGGTACCACGGACGAGACCATGGAGATGGAGAACTTTTTCATGATCAACCCGCGCGGGCACAAGTGTGAGGTGACGATGCCGTGAGAGTCGATGGCGGCCGAACCCGGATCCGGAGTCTTCGGGGCCGTGCATGGGGCAAAGAGAGGGGCCGAGATGTGTGCAAGGAGTCAGTGACATCGGTCTTTGAAGATGCTGCCAGAAGCGATACGTAGACTCTCCACAAACGGCGATAGAAGTGACGCAACTCGTGATCCCGAAGAAACCGACGTTCCGCGGATAGTTGAGTGTAACTTGACTGATGAGATGGCCCCTCACTCGCACGTCTTGCCATCGTGGCCAGGTCCATGGTAAACGCACGTGGGGGGCAATGAACCGTGGACCCACCATAGCTTTACTCGGTAGTATTAAAAAAAAAAAGTAGCGTGATGAGCTCACGGAATCCTCACAAGATTTTCAGATGAACGACTCATGCATCGCCTCCGCTGATCCCAGGTGGGGACTAAACCGCGGGCGCGAACGGCTTTTGGAGCCTCTGGACCGCGCCCTACAAAGCACCGCGGTCACAGTCAAAGGCACTAACTAACATGCAATTCGTCTGCCCAAGTGCCCATCCCCGGACCCACCGCCGCGGCCACTTGGAAAGAATTTTTACGTACCTGTAATTCAGACCGGTCCATCAATCTCAGCTGGCTGCGAGACCGGAGAAGTGGGAGAGCATGCCAGATGTTCTGCCAGCGCATACGATGCGTTTGTGAATGGAGCTGTTGAAGCCGTATGGGCTGGCAGATGGCTCTCAAACTCCGCCAAGACCACATAGGGCTGCCAGACCGAACGCAGACCGAGACTGCAGCGCGGCCAGCTTCGGTGAGAAAGGGGTCATCTTCAGACTTCAGACTTTCAAACGCACTCAGAGTCACTCTCGCCCCCCGCGACCCCACCGGTGCCAGGAACGCCCCGCGACTAGGACAATGATGCCATCGCGTAGCCTCCGGTTTCGCCATGGGGGAACCTGAAATTTTCTTGGACCAAATGTAGTATTTGATCAGATTCCGATCCTAGCCCCTTGGCTATCTCGTCTTGTCGTTCCCTCGCACGTCGCATTCCAGGCCTGGGGAAGATTTTGAACAACAGTCTGCAAGTGTCTTGTTGTCTTCCAGCCATGACCGCGTACGAGTCCGACAGGCGCGCCCAGTCCATCGGGCCCGCCGCCGAAGACGACGCCGTCCGCGACGTCGAGAAGTCCGGCGCCGACGACCACCATGACGACAAGGCCGCCATCCTCGAGCCCCAGCTCAACGTCGGCGGCCACGGCCGCACCCAGCGCCGCCTGCGCGACTACCAGGTCACCATGATCGGCTTCTGCTCCGGCATTGGCACCGGCCTGTTCATCGGCACCGGCTCCGCCTACGCCAACGCCGGCCCCGCCGGCCTGCTGCTCGCCTACATCGTCGTCGGCGCGGTCCTGTGGTGCGTGATGCAGAGCATCGGCGAGTTGGCGACTTTGGTACGTAACCCAAGCTTCCAGTCTCTTTGATATGTCTTCTAACCATGAACCACTTAGATCCCAACCGCCGGCTCCTTCCCCCACTGGGCCACCCGCTTCATCGACCCCTCCGTCGGCTTCTCCCTCGCCATCTCCTACGGCTACTGCTACACCATCGCCATCGCCTCCGAGGCCTCCGCCGCCGCCATCCTCGTTGGCTACTGGACCGACATCACCCCCGCCGTCGTCATCACCGTCTCCCTCGTCCTCATCCTCGCCTGCAACCTGCTCAGCGTCCGCTGGTACGGCGAGACCGAGGTCGCCGGCGGCACCATCAAGGTGCTGTGCTTCATCGGCCTCGTCTTCACCTCCATCATCATCACCGCCGGCGGCGGGCCCAACCACGAGGCCATCGGCTTCCGCTACTGGCACAACCCCGGCGCCTGGGTCGACTACAACGGCATCAGCGGCTCGACAGGCCACTTCCTCGGCTTCGTCGCAGCCTTCATCAATGCCTCGTTCTCGTTCATTGGGTAAGTTGAAGCATTGTTGAAATTCCTTTCGCAGAGAGACAAGAAGCGGTACGGCCCGGCCGGTTCTGGTGTGTGCGCAAACTGTTGGTGAATGGCTGACAGCTGGTGCGGTGGACGCGGCACCTGGCCGCCAGCCGGCCGCTGTGTTATTGCAAAACACCAAGGATGATGCTTCATGATCGAAATGATCAAAACCACACCGTTGCTTCACTTTTCGCTATCAGAAATGGAAGAAATGAGAGCTGACAAGAATTCGCAGAATTGAGACCGTGGTGGTTACAGCCGCCGAGTCCGTGAACCCCCACAAGGCGATCCCCAACGCCGCGCGCCGCGTCACCATGCGCATCGGCTTCTTCTACATCTTCGGCGCCCTGCTCATCGGCCTCATCGTCGACCCCCGCGAGCCCGGCCTCGTCTCCGGCTCCGGCAACGCAAACAGCTCGCCGTGGGTCATTGCCATCCGCCAGGCCGGCATCAACATCCTGCCCTCAATCGTCAACGCCTGCATCCTCGTCTCCGCCTGGTCCGCCGGCAACTCCTACTGCTGGGTCGGCTCCCGCATGATCGTCGCCATGACCACCGACAGACAACTCCCTCAAATCTTTGGTGTCACGAACAAGCAGGGTGTACCCTACGTAGCCGTCATCACCGCCTGGCTCTTTGGTCCTTTGGCTTATCTGAGTAAGTTGATACTGGGGGACGAACCCCCTGACTTCCGTCTCAACACAAAAGCTAACCAAGCCCCGCAGGTCTTGGATCGGGAGGTGCCGCCGACGCCTTCAACTGGCTCCTCAGTCTGAGCACCATCGCCGGCCTCATCGCCTGGGCCACCCTTTGCTTCTGCTACATCCGCTTCCACCGTGCCATGAAGGTCCAAGGCGTCAGCCGCGACACCCTGCCGTGGAAGGCGCCCTTCCAGCCCTACGCCGCATGGTTCGGCTTCGTCGGTTCCACCGTCATCACCTTCGTCGCCGGGTTCTCCGTCTTCCTCAAGGGCAACTGGTCCACCGCGGACTTTGTCTCTTCCTACATTGGAATCCCCATCTTCATTGTGCCCATCATCGGCTGGAAGCTTTACCACCGCACCAAGGTTTGTCTCCTTCCTTAACAAGACACATATGGTCAAGTTGCTAACATGAGCAGTTTGTTCGCGCCCACGAAATTGACCTGTGGTCAGGCCGTCTTCACGAGTCAGAGTACGTCCCTGAGAAGCCGAAGCCAGAAAACTTCCGCGAGCGCGTCAGCCAGTGGTTCTCATGACCTTGGTGCGCCGGGGCTTAGATAGAAGACTACTCCCCCAGAGGCGTTCAACACGCCATGATGAATGTGTAATATCATAATAATTGAAAGAAGACAACTTTGAATCCTTCTTCCGAAGCGAAACTGCTGCCTTGAGCCAAGCACAATATATGACGACATGTTCTTGGGTCGTCCGCGGAGATAGACGGTGTCCAATCTCGTGACCCAGGCCGCCGCCATGGCTTCATGTGCGGTGTCAGTCTAATCGGGAGGCAGCCATGCAAGACCAGCCCTGTGGCAGTGACGAAATACGTCATGTAAGAGACGGTTGAGAAATCGGCCATGGTCTAGGTCGCACTCGCAACTCTTGAGCTCGCCTGTATCCAACCGACACTCACGAATATGTTCTTTGGCGAGCGGTCCACCCCTTCAAGCTCGCACTTTGAAAGTCTCCATAGCGGGAGGCTTCGCTTCCCGGCTGCCATCCCCTGTTCCACCCCCGTTGATCTCCTTCGCGGTGGATAACGTCCGCATGCTTGACAGAAGGAGTGAAAGTCTCCCTGCTGCATTCTAGTCTCCTCGGGTACTTTGGCCGCGGCAAATCATCAGGCCACCAGCCTGGTTTTGTAAATCCTGCGTCAGCAGCTAATGCCGGGATCTCCGCGATATTGAAGGGTAGTCTGCCATTCAAGCGAGAGCCATCGGATTAGGCAGAAGAATAAAAAAGTTGCGGGTCAACAAAAGTCTCGAACTAGCGGCCCAAAGTCCCTTCGTCACTATGATTAATGGCGGTAGACGTGTGTGATGGAACAGTAACAGCGACTGACTCGATGGAAGAGCGGTGGAGTAGGCATTCAAGAACAACCAGAGGGCAGTAAACGAGCAATGAGTGGCCTTGTTCCAATATAGGGACCCTCTGCGCTGGCAGACAACGTGACGACAGGTAGGTAAATGTGTGAAATGCAGAAGCGCGATGCCACTCGGTTCGTTGCGTGAATGCTTGGCGTAAGCACAGCGTGGTCCAGGGTCTAATCTGCTCAACGAGGTTTAGCGAGTGCTGCAAAGATCTCGGCCGGTCCGTAGAGCGGCCCAAGTAAACGGTTGCGAGACCCTGATTCGCCTGTCGGGCTAAAGCGCCGTTGGTTGGCGACGCCTGACATGCCATTGGTGCTGAAGCGGTACGGCCCTGAAGGAGTTTAAACTGCATTGGGGCCAGGCTGAAGCCAAGCTGGTTGAGACTCAAACGCGGGGCATCAGGTGAAGCTGGGTCTTGGATGTCATATTTCGCGGAATCGTTCCTCGGTTAAGCGAGGTTTTCGCGATGATGCGCTTCTTGCTTCGACATGAAGACGAAATAGATACTGTAAGATCATCTTCAGGGCAGAAAGCTGATGCTGTAATACTTTGCCTCTCTTGTGAGCTAGGGCTCAATAATCGTTTGGGAACTTTCTGAGCAAAATACTGCCACCTGTCGTCACAAAACACTTTGCGAGCCGTTGAATGCTTTGAGCTCGTGTGTTGTACCTGATATAAGATGGCTTGGAACTGACAGTCAGTTTGTTGAGGCCGTGTCCAGATGCGCCAGTCTCGTCGTATTATCGGCCTATCGATGTGACCGCTGCCATATCCTGTTGCGCTAATGAACTCAGAGATACCTGCAAGGTTCAGAGGAACATCTCCACTGACGTTTGTCCATTTTCACCCATGCTTCTCCAGCGAGGCAGCAAGGAACAGAGCACTGCCAGCAAAGAAGCTCTAGGCGACAAGATAAACCATCCCCGTATTGCGTTATGGCGTCAAAAGTCCGAGGCAGGGTCCGAGGCGGGTTGATGGACATGGACCAATGTCTGGCTGTTGTCAGTCCTGATGAGGGCACCCTGCCATCGGGATCCCTCAGCCGAGCCAGAGGAAGATCTTTTGTTCTGGCGTTCCTCCGAAGTGGAACTGCTGCGTCTTCTGCTGGAACGTGGTAGCAATGCCTGGTACTCAGATTGGAAAATGGTCCGCCGTGAACTCAAAAATTTTGAGACTGCCACTGTCGCGTTCGTGGTCGTGGTTGAGACTGAATGTTGATGCTGTTACTGCAGCCGTTGCGTGGATACGATACTGGTTGCTGACGTATGCATGGATGGTTTTCCCATGGACGCTGCGTTAACAACAAAGTTGCCGGGAGGCCTTCTTAATAGTAACAGTCAGTTTTGGACCCCAACCACAAAGACGAAGGCAGACGGGTAAGGCTGGATGCTGTGGCCTCAACTGGACCCGGGCTCAGTTCCGTGTGCCAACCTCCTGGCTGCGGCCCCCTTGGTCCCTGGTGTGAGAAGTAACGCGTTCAGGGAGCCAATCGAGGTGATGTTCTTTCGGGAGGCCTAACGGACCCATGCCTCTTTTGGGCACTTCCTCCGTGTGGTAGACGCCGATCGAAAGAGTGACGAAGAGGTACTGCCATGAGCTTCATAGGATCGATGGGGGCCAAATTTGGCCCCCAACTGCCTTTGGAATCTTCTTAAGTGTACGGCCGTTCTTCTTATAAAGCGACTCTTCGCTCTTAACAGAGAACTCCTGGTCGATTCAGAAATCTCCAAAAGTATATACTCCGCTTTTTGTTACGTTTAAAATGCCATCTGTTGTGAACAATCGCGGCGGGAGCCAGATCAACTTCTTCATGTCGCGAACGCCTGAGGTGGTCTGGTCCGAGCCAGTGCAACACACAACAGCCCCCAAGTAAGCACCCACACCTTGCACGCATGCATGGCGGCAAGCAATATAATTGGTGGCGATCGGACGGCTAAGTGAAGCAGGAGTGCGAAAAATGGGCCACAAATCCTCACATTCGCTCTCCAGAGGCGGCCTAGGGCTACTCGAGCCAGTACGAACAAAGTGAAGACTGGGTGTATCACTTGTAAGGCGTTCCTGCGTCCTGTGCCACATGAAAAGCGTCAACTAATCGATTATTAGGCAAGTGAGTCAAACCTTATTATGCCACAGCGACCAGTTCCTCATTTTTACCAGGCGAAGACATGTGAAGTGTGACGAAGTAAAGCCTGCTTGCGAGCGATGTGTCAAATGGCAAGGCTTCTGCGAAGGCTACGAGGCCCCTCCCAGCGAATCATCGACCTCAACACCGACACCAGATACCGAGAAAGGCGTGAGATTGGCGGCTAGGCAGGCCCTGGCCAGGAAAAAGCGCGTGGCGGAGGATGTCGGATCTTGCCACCAACCAGGCAATGTCAGTTTGTTGCTCGAGCCGACCGTGAACATTTTCAAAGACGAAACCGAACGACAATACTTCGACCACTGGTTGGGCTATCGGGCTCAATTGGGCGGCGGCTTCTTCGACGAAGAACTTTGGAATGAAACGATTCCTCAGTTAAGCCGTGAGCATGCGTCCGTCAGGTACGCCATCATGGCCATTGGCGGCATCTCCAAGGCGCTCCGGCACAGCCTCAAACCGACAAGCCCAGCACTCATGGCTGCAAATGGCCCGCACTATCATCTCGCCCTTTCATATTATGGCAGGGCCATCCACGAAGTCCGAGGGTCAAAATTGGACACCGGTAGCCTTCGTGGGGCAATTGTCTGCTGTCTGCTGTTCGTCTGCTTTGAGGTATTGCATGGCGATCGAAAGGCAGCCTTCGCCCACATCAACAACGGCCAACGTATGATGGACGAGCTCCTACACATCCGCGATCATCACGACCATGACCACACGCAGAACATCATCGGTGCCGATTTCGTCGAGAGAGATATCCTCCACGTTTTCCAGCGGCTGATCCAGCAATCTTGGTCTTGCGGCGTTCTCCGGCGACGTGATCAGCATATCGCCGGTAGTCCGAGCGATGGTGATAACGAGCCGTCACCCGAGCAGCTGTGGTGTTGCCGAGGAGGATCCGCCGAAAAGTGCGTCGTCCATAACATGCCATCAAGCTTCGTGAGTCTCCAACAAGCTCGACGCTGGTGGGACGTGGTACAACACTACGTAACCCATTCGTCTAGCATCGTCTTTCGTGTGACCCATCTGGGCTTGGACGACGACGTGCTCTCAGAATGCAACGAACGTATCCAAAGACACATGGACAAGATCGAACAGGCGAGAGCAGGCATCAAGACGGCGACTCCCGAGCAGTGGCAGGATTTCAAAGATGTGCTCGAACGATGGCACCAAGGCTTCGAGCCACACTGGAAAGCTGCGCAAAAGTCCAAATCCGAAGACGAAAAATCGTATGCTCAGGCAGCTCACCTTCGGGCTCACTACCTGACGATGTATGGCTGCGTCCACGCACCACTCAGCTGTAGCTACGAAAGCATCGCCAAGCTGACGCCCAAGTACCAAGAAGTGGTCGAACTAGGGCATCAGCTTTTCGAGTACCAGAAGCGATCTTGGGGCGATGGCGAAATGTTCACGATGGACACCGGCCCGACGTGGCCCATCTTCATGGCCGGTACGCGCTGTCGAGATCCCGAGGTGCGGTCCGAGGCAATACGCCTCCTCCACGAGAACCCCAGGAGGGACGGTCTATGGGACAGTCGGATCTTCTATGCCATGACATTCCGCAATCGCATGCTGGAGATTTCCAACGCCCAGGAAGGCACCAGCGATGAGCAGTGGTGGCGGCTCCAGCAACGCTCGGGATGTATAGACGAGCATGGTAGGTTGATCGCGCGAGCCATGGAAAAGAACCCACAAACAGGGGAATGGGAGTTTGGAGAGGAAGATTTGCGTCGGTTTCTTCTTGACTGACGGTGGTCCCTTGGGATTGCAAGAGTCATTCGGCTGGCCTGAATGTTGATGTTGACATTGGCGTTGGCGTTGGCGTTGGTGTTTGATATTGAAAGCGAAGGCGCTTCCAGTCGTTACTTTCTGATTAGTAAGGGGGCAGGTGCCCACTGGACGGGATGCCTCAGGGGAGGCCTGGAGGTCGGCACTGCATTTTTGGGCAACGTTTTAGCGTATGACAGCCTGTAGATCATCCACACAAGCACGAGCAATGATGACACGAACTCTTTGAAACCGTCGGTCTCACACTCAACCCGTACAGTGTAAACGAGTCATAGGAAAGAAGCCGTTCTACATGGCACATAAAACGAACAGGGGGTCACATCGTAACCACAGGTGGCTATAATAACTTGATCTTCTACCCTTTGAGCTTAGCTACATCTAATTTATAGAGGTTTACGCTATACTATAAAAATTCTATTTATACTTTAATAGATACCTACTAAGTATTATAATACTATTTATAATAACTAAGAAAACTTTAATTTAAGTTTATAAGAATATTATTAATAACTTTAATAATTTATAGATAACTTACTATATAAAGTTATATAAGAAGAAGAATATAGGTTTATTCTTCTTCTATTTATTAATTATCCCTAATAAGATTAACTTATTATAATTAAACTAGTTAAGATACTTATTACTAAATTAATAAACTAAAAAATAAAAGAGAAAATTAATTTTATTATTTTTATAAAAAAGTATAAATAATATATTTAAATTATTATTAATAATATAAGTCCTAATATTAGATCCCTAAATAAATTTAGAGATAAGTACTATTACTAAATATTTATTAATTAAATTATAGTATATTTCCTCTCCTAATTTAATAAAGTCTAAAGTATTAAGGAGTACTAAAAAGATTAATAAAAACTCTATAAGAAACTTAGATATAATAAGTAAATAAGAGAGGTTTAGGAGGAACTTAATAAGCTAAATAAATATAAAGAATATAAGAATAAGGTAATCGTAGTAATTACTATAATCCTCCCTAATTATTAAAACTAAGAGAAGTAAAGGGAGAAGGGAAAAGGGGGGGGGGATTATAAGGGTAGCCTATATACTAGCAGAGTTTCCAAAAAGTACACTTCAATACACTATATCACTTCACAGTGAAAGTGCGGCTGCAATGACTTGAGTGCAACCTGGTGAGTATGAACTCATCATGTGCAGACGTCTCAACCTCTTTGCGAGCGGCCCATGGCTATGAACTTGAGCCAGCGGGCAAGTCAGTGATTTAGTGTTGATATGCAAGGACCTCGGATCGGGTGTCCCATACCGAATGCTTTTCCCCCACTAATACATGCAGTAAGCTGAATCATAAGTCAGCAGACAAACGGCGGTCAAAAATATGAGAGGAGCAAAGTATCTTAGGAGGGAGTCTCATTGTCGACGGTAGCTTCACCGCTGCATTCATCGTTGCCAAAACCCCGTTTCTCCTGTACTGTGGACTCGCCATGGGTTGCTGGCTTGATCTGTCGACAGGGCGGCCACCTGTCTCATGGTCAAATCAACAACCAGCTGCAAGGTCTTATCCTCACTGCAACGAACAATATGAACCGCACATATCACCTTCGCAACCTATTCTAACAGTTAGGAAAAACGTAGCCTCGCTCTACCTTAAACCTCAGGAACTGGGAGCAATCATGGTTAGCAAATGCGCCAGTAGAACTTCAAGAGCTCCCCCAATTAGGTGAACCCTCTCTGGTGAACATCAGGGGCCGACAGACAGGGACGAAGAAGACTCGGTGTGCAAGCTTCACAGATCTAGGATGTATTGCCTGATAGCTGCCCGGGTGGACTCCAGTCTTTCGAACTTTATGTCTTGACGTGGAAGCCTTTTTCTTTTTTTTTTCTTTTTTTTTTCAAGAGACCAGGCCACGATGCGTTGTCTGTTCAGAAACCAAAGGGGTTGTTCGTTTTGATTACCTCATAAATGGACTCCTAGATTATCATCGCAAGGCTGCTTTCGGTCGAGTGTGGTTCAACTCATGCTTCCGTTCCTCACACTTGCGCATAAGTGAAGTGGAAGCGGCTGGTCTGGATGTTCAAGTTTGGCAACGGGGACTACGATAGCAGAGAAGACGACGGCAAAAAGCAGAGCTACAGAGTATGCGTTCATGATAGTCAGGATAAGCTACAGTGGATGGCGGCCGAACTGCGTGTGCTCGCACCTGTCAAAGAATCCTTCACAATGTAGCTACATCGGGAGGCCATGAGTACTGAATCAAGATGATATTATTCGCCAACGGCTTTGCGGCTCAGTTGCATTTGCGTATAAGAGCCTACAAGGTTCTGCACGAGATTATATCATCAGAACCCTTGGGTGTAAAGAAACATGCCCTTCCGCGTGAAGTGCTAGGGCTCTCTCACATGTCGAAAGTCCGGTTACTTCTGACTTCAGAGACTGACTGCGCACTATGATTCCCATAAAACACTCAAGAACAACATACATAAACGCAGAGCGATTCGTTTTAAATCATAAATGACTCGTAGCCAAGTTCTACGTGGCTGTCTTGGTGTAATCTCGGAATTGCTTCTCAACTGCCCAAGCGACAGACGACGTGCAAGTTTACTCGGGCTCATAGGTTGGACGAAGTAAAGTGTTGCAAAAGTGTAATGACATCCTCGTGAAGAAATTCACCCAGGCGAAGAACTCATCCTAATATATATTGACGAGTAGCCATCCTGCGTGGGCCAGAGATGGCGAGAATGACGGGCTCATCTCAAGCTTCACCGACGTCATCACACTAGCCTCCGTCACCGCACCTTGGAACACAACTCACCTCCAAGTTCGCCTTCCACATGCCCAACCACCAGAAAAGAAAAACCCACATCCGATGGGCTTCTCAAAGTACGATGCAAATCACGATCACGCACCAAGTGAACCGCCTCGCTCATTGTCGAGGCGGACATCATGACGCCCTAAACCGGGTCCGATGATGAATCATAGACGATACGCCGCCTAAAACAGAAAAATGTCACGCAAAACCAAAAACCCTCCCGCTCCCACAACCTACCCTCATCCTCACCATCACCACATAATCCATCGATTGACCAGACACCACGCATGCCTCCAACCCGCCGCATCGCACAACTATCCCATCACCTCGCATCCCGCACCATGTCCTCCTCCTCACCCTCCAGCACCGGCCCAGCGCCCTGGCGCGCCGCCTTCCTCAAAAACGTCACCGAAATGTCCTCCCCAGAATTCTACCTCGCAACCCTCCACGCCGGCCCAACTCCCACATCCTCCTCATCCTCATCCTCCCTCTCCCCGCGCACCCGCACCGTCATCTTCAGAGGCCTCTGGGCTTCCCTCCCCGTCAACCCCAAGAACCCGGCCCCCCTCAACCCGCCCCTCTACGAGAGCGACCTGCTCACCCTCACAACCGACGCCCGCATGGCCAAGGTCCCGGACTTCTTCAACAGCACCCCGTCCTCCGGCTCCGGCTCCGACCCCGCATCCTCCGGCGGCGGTGCCCCCGTCGAGGCCGTCTTCTGGACCCCCGCCCGCGTCCAGTGGCGCATCCGCGGCGAAGCCTACATCCTCGGCCCGGACATCTCCTCCCCCTCCTCCCCGGCAGCCTCCGTGCGCGAGAAGCTCCTCGCCCGCATGCGCAGTCTCCCCTCCTCCGAGGTCCAGCGCCGGCAGACCTCCGACGACAACCTCTTCCCCTCCGAGGTCCGCTCCAACATCGCCTCCTCCGACGAGGAATGGAGCTTCGCCCGCGAAGTCACCGCGCACTTCGGCAACCTTTCCCCCATGATGCGCGGCACCTTCCGCAACCCGGAACCCGGCACTCCTCGCACCGCGAACCCGCCCGACGCAGACCACAAGCTCGGCCAGAAGGTCGAGGACCTGCAGGACCCCATCGCCCGCGAAAACTTCCGCGTCGTCGTCATCGTGCCCACCGAGGTCGACCGCGCGGACCTGAGCGACTCGGCGGACCCGCGCCGCTGGCTGTACCGGCTCGTCGGCGCGGACGAGCCGGAGGAGGCGCAGGAGGGTGCGGAGAGGAGCAACGGGTGGACAAAGATTGAGACGTGGCCGTAAACGAAGGATGGAAGAGGCGGTGGCGGGGGCCCGGGGGGGGGGTTGTCTGCGCGTGAGGAAGTGGGCAATTCGTTGAGGGCCGCAGTGTGTGCAGCCGGCCGGGGGGAGGGGAGGGAGAGGAGGGGATTTCTGCTTGGCTTAGGGATCTACCAACACCAACACACATGCGCGTACACACCAACAACATGCGGCGGGTAGGCGGTCACAGGCTTATGGCGAGCAGCAAAAAATGTCGCGGAGTCTAGGATAGCTTTCATCATACTGTGCTCGTCTCACATGTTCTCAGTCCATCATCGTACAATCGGGGCTCTCCCGACACAGACACACATACGGCAAGCATCACGGGGAGGTTGGCGCGGCGCGGGTTTCCACTGAGAGGCACATCTCGGGTGTCTGTGCAAGAAAAGGCAATAGAAAACAGAGACCGAAGCCTGGCGGCTGACAAGTGTGTGAACCAAAAAGCTGGCCGAGCCGTGCCGTGCTTACGCCCCCTCACCGGTCGATCGAAAAGGATACATCGTCCACAATGCCCACATCGCCCGAGGTCTGTCGATGCAAGGATTCTCGTCAATTTGACCCCGAGCCTGGCGTAGGTAAGCGGGCAACAGAGGCAGGCTGGCAAGCAGGCTCGGCAGTCTCCCTCTTTGGGACATGATTGCGTCCGATGGATCTGCGGCACTGCGCGCGGGATGGAAGACGAAGATGTCCTTAGGCATGTGCGCATTTGCTGGCCTTGCTGAGCCCGCGCGGAGACCTGCAACATGCAGGATGACTGTTCGTGTTGGTGCTGTTGGTTCTCGACAGGTTCCTGACACGCCCGCCATTCCCGTGACCGACACTCTACGTGTACCATCTACATGCTGCGTAAGCCCCGGTTCGGCGCGACAGCGGTCTTTGCTAT